TCATTCCATGTCAACCGATGATCACACTGACAGAGAGAATCATCAGAGAGGGTCAGTGTCACCAAGGAAAAGAGCGGGGTGACCTGGAGCAAGGGAGGCAGTTACTGAACTGAGAGGGCATGGTCGGAGACATGTGAGCTGAGACCTGGTCTATGAAAAGCAGCCCATGTTGGACAGAGCCCAGCGGAGAGTGCTATGAGCTTAGAGCAGCAAGTGCGAGGCTCTGTGGCAGGATCCTGGCCAAAGTGCTGAAAGAAAGGAAAGGAGGTCAGGCTGGTTGGAACGGGCCATCAAAGGGGACAATGATTCTTGATGGGAATCAAGAGGATGGAAAGGCCAGAGCCAGCTCCTACAGGTCCTATAAACTGGGGTAAGGAGATGAGATTTCTTCACAGTGCAATGAGGAGGAGGTGGGAGTTTAAAGAGGAAGAGTGGTGTGATCTAATTTATGTTTCTAAAGGTTTCCTTAGGCTGCTGTAGAAGGAATGCACCATTACAGGGGCCAGTGTGGATGAGAGGGGAGCAGGCGGGTTAGTGGAGTCATCCAGTGCAGGAGCATGACAGCTTAGTATAGGATGGTGACACTAGGGATGAATGGATGTAGATGCCTTAGAGGTAGTGTGGGGTCTTCTTTGTGCCTGACCTCCTGTGTTAGTCAACTCCTTCCTGGGACAAAATACCTGACACAACTTACAGGAGGAGAGGCTTCCTTTGGCTCATGGTTTTGGGGGCTGCAGTCCCTGGTCATTGGCTCCAAGGCAGTTGTCTCCATGGTATGGGGCATGGCTGAGGAAATCACCTCATTACATTCAGGAAGCAGAGATCAAGAGAAGAGCCCCAGGAAGGGGTCTAGGACCACACAGTCCTCATGATCATGCCTGCATGGCCCATCAGACATACCTAGATGTGTATGGGTACCCAGAAGTGTATGAGTGTATTCTCCAAGGTATCTCTCAAGCCAATCAAGTTGACATCACACCTCCCCTCTGGAACCCAGCCCCATGAATTCCCATACCATTCTATACCTCCCACAGGGTGTTAAACATGAATTTCAAATTTTGCCCAATCTGCACTCTGGGTCTGCCACCTGCAAACCAGTTCTTTACCAACTCCATTCATCCATGAGTCATCCTGAACTCCTCTCCTGTCCCCAGATCCACACCTAATCCTCAATAAATTTTTCTGACTCCATCTTGGAGCTTCATCTAGAATTGTACCACTGCCACCCAAATGCAGGCGGCATCATCACTCAAGTGGATTATCATAGTAGCCTCCCAGTTGGTCTCCTTGCCTCTGCTCTTGTCCTCTAGTGACCAGTGTGTACCTGTTAAAATAAATTGGGTGGCAACACTCATTTTTCCTGCCCAAGCCCCCAATGGCTTTCTATCTCAGAATACAATCCCTTCTCTCCTGCTTAGGCCCATCTCCCACCATTGTCCCCTGGCTAATTGTTCATCCCAGGGAAACACCATGTGAGCTGACCTGATATATAAAAAGCAGCCAAGTATGGGCCCACACAGGAGGGCACCATAAGCTTAGAGCAGCAAGTACAAGGTGTGAGGTAGGATCCTGGCCAGAGTGTAGAAAGAAAGCAAAGGAGGTCAGGTGAGCTGGGATGGGACCATCAACAGGAATCATAGCTCCAAGGAGTTGGAGAGAAAAGCCAAAGCCAGCTTATGACCCACAGACACATCAGCTTCCCTCTGTGCTTTAAGCCTGACAAACATGTCACTGCCCCAAGACCTTCATATGTACACCTTCCTGTATCTGGGCCCAGGTTTCTGCTTCTGCCTCTCTGCTCAGAGATGCCTTCCCTGACCACTCCATATAGCGAATCATTGTCATCACTTTGTTGTCCCCTTGTCTTGCTTTGTCTTCAGAGCATTTACAACCTCCTGACATTGTACACTTTCTTGCTTATTTGTCACCCTTCCCTACTGTAAGCCCCATGCAGGCAGAGCCTGACCCTAGCGTAGAGTGGATACTCCATAACTGTGCTGTATCACAACCAAAGCTGATACAATGGAATAAGGGGCAAATTTAGCACCAGCCCCGCTGCCAGAGAGTGAAGAAGGCAATGTTCCAGAAGAAGCTTGTGGAGCTGGGAGGAAGACAGAGACTCTCTGGGTCCTGTGAGGCCAGCTAGGATGGCTTCCGGAAGTTAGTGGGAAAGGCACGGAGATCACTCTTGCTGAAGTTTCCAGAGTCCAGTTCAGTTTACCCTCACTATCTGTCTAAATATCAAACATCTTAGGCATAATGTGGAACAGGTATTTTCCATCAAGTGTTGATGTGTTCAAATTTAAGTCCTTACAGAATATGAAGAAAAAAAATTTTTAAATAGGAATAAACACATATTTTTTACACAGAAATTTAGAAATCTAACCATATACAGCATTGTAGCAGGACAGTTCTGTGACTTTTTTTTTCTTTTTCCTTTTTTCTCATTTATTAGCCATTAAAAAGAAAACTTCTACTTGTGAGACAGTATGGTAATAATTGGTATGTCTTGACAAGAAGTATGTATTTAGAAGACCAGAATGACAGGCATTCCAAGCATGACCCTTCTGTTACACATTGTTATCTTCAGTGGAGTTGCTTGGTTCACAGGTATCAGCATGTATAGTTAGTCAGGTTGAGAATCCTACCAACTCACTGCTAGTTTCAAAAACCTGCTGATGTTTCTCAAGATCATTGCAGGGTAATAATAAGCTGCTCTTCTGGAGGGTTCACAACCTAAGTTTGCAGATCAAAAATTGGAGAAAAGGAAGGGCTGCAAGATCAGCCAACATTTTGGCTCTAGTCTTTCAAGGTCAGTGAAGACTGAGGACGTATAAGAACCTGTACTATAACATCATGTTACTCAGTTGTGTCCCAAATTTTCTGAGCAAGGAGATTATGGAGCCACAGAGGAATGTGATTGATGATGTATAGTGTACCTAAGAAAAGCCACATGGAAAGAAAACTTTCTCTCAGGCTTTCACAGAGGGCAAATTGGTCAAGCAATGGAAGTGACTCATCCACATGGCTGACACTGACAGAGGTTCTACAAAGTGCAGTACAGGGTTACAGGATAAATCCTGAAGGGACTTGACTGACCTTATCAGATACAAAAGTTACATTTATTGTTATACAGGTCTTGCTTTATCTTGGTCTTAACCATCCAGCAAAAAAGTATAAAAATGAGGTACATAATGTAAAGCCATATTGGTATGCTGAGCTGTGAAAGGCTCAAGTCAACAACTTCTGTGGATAACCCACTACTATTGTGGACTACTGAACTGTGTTGGATTGTTTTGCTGAATTCAAGCAGCTATAGTATTTAGATACCAATAGAATACCCATCTCTGACAGGACTAAACAAAAAAAAGGGGGGGCATACAAAGGAAGGACCATTTTGTATTTGTATATACAGAATAGTTAGGATAGATATATAGCTACTTTTGCTTAATTCAATAGAAGAAAGATTTGTAGTAATAGTGTTTGGATAGGATATCCTGTCTCCTTTTTGTACTATGGATAACCACTAAGAAGATAACAATGTACAATGTATTAATTATTGAAAATGTCCTATTAATCAGCTTTGAAACTGTCTCATTGATATTTGTTTCTCAATAAAATAATAATAAAAAAACCCAGAAGTGACCTAGAATAACAAAAGCAACTGTGGGCAAAAAAAAAGTTTGCAGTGTCTGTCCCCAAAAGAACCCCAGGCAAGGGTATAAGACTACAGGCTCCAGTGGCCTGCAGGAAAGAGGTACAACTGAGGCATCCAGGGAACCAAGACTGGCGATTCCAAGGGTCTGGCAGGGTTCAGCACCACAGACAAAGGCTAAGCCTGCCCGGAATGCATGCTGCAGGTGCTGGGGACCAGGCCAGTTTCGGCCACAACAGCCCTGCCTCTCCACTGGCACCTCCACATTCTCCCTCTCTTTAGCGTCTCACCTCTCACCCCAACAGTTGCTCCAAGAGACAACTATGGTCCCTAGATTTATAAAGTGGAAACTGGGGTTTGGGAAGGAGATATGACTTCCACAAAATTCCACACAGACTGCACTCTGAGGGGAGATTCTCAGGCTGGGCCCTGGCTTTTGTGACCTTCATGAAAGACACTTCCTTTGGCTGACACAGCGTGAGGCCTGGCTTCCCTAAGCCCTGGGCAAAGGCAGTTTCATCCTAGCCTCCAAATCCCCTACCCCCAGGCTCTGGCAACGGACGAGGAAACTGCCTTTAAGGTGAGCGGGAGTCTGCCTCCTTCTCTTCAGGCTTGGACCGGGCGGGATCCGAATTTGGACAGAAGAGCACGAAGGTTTAGCGCTAAATCCCAACTCCTGGACAGAAGACTGATTTTCTCAGCGTCCAAGGAAGATGAGCTGGGCCTGGGACCTCTGAGCCACTCCAGGGCAGAGATAGGTTGAATGGCTCCATCTCCTTGTCACTTGTCTCACGCTCGGTCTCACTGACCCGCGACGCACTTTTCCCCCTCTGACTAGCTTTCTGCTGTCCCTCAGCTCCTTAGGGGGTCTCTCACTTTCTCTGCCTTATTCAATGAGTCTCTTTCCAAAACTCTCCCGACTTTTTTTTTTCTTCTTCTTCTTTTTCTTTTAAATTAAAATCCCTGTCCTGCTGCTGGTTTTCTGGCAAATGGGGCGAGGGAGGTGATCCCAGGTGAGCTCTACAGCCCTGGGGACCTACCTGCCCCTGGGGACGCAGGAACCCGGGGCTGGAGGGGGGCGGGGGCGCATCCGAAAGAGCTATGTGCGAGGGCCAGAGGCAGCCACCAGTCCCGGCCTTGCCCCGCCTAGGGAGTGGCCGGAGCGCACTCTAGTGCCACCGGGCGGTGTGGGGTGGGGGTGGCTCCTTGGCCCCCCGGGCTATCCTGGGGACCCCAGGCCCCGCCCCTCGCGTTCCTATTGGCCTCGAACTCCCCCGCCCCCCACCGCCCGCTCCAACTCCCGGGCTTTTAGGCTACTACGAATAAATCGCCCCGGGCGCCTGGCGAGGAGCGAGAGGTGGGGAAGCCTCAGGGCGCCAGTACTTTCCTCTCTGCATATCCGGCCGGACAGGACTGGGCGGGTGGGGAAAGTCGGCCGGCAGTGTATTCAAACCCCCGGCACATTGCCACCGCTGGGGAAAAGGAGTGGCAGAGTTCAGGGCAAACTCCTGCCGCTTGGGTTGGGCAAGATCAAGACCGCACCACCCCCGCTGGGACATGGAGTTGCTGTCGCCTCCGCTCCGAGACGTAGACCTGACCGGCCCGGACGGCTCTCTCTGTTCCTTTGCCACAGCCGACGACTTCTATGACGACCCGTGCTTCGATTCCCCAGACCTGCGCTTTTTCGAGGACCTGGACCCGCGCCTGGTGCACGTGGGTGCGCTCCTGAAGCCCGAAGAGCACCCGCACTTCCCCGCAGCTGTGCACCCAGCCTCGGGCGCGCGCGAGGACGAGCATGTGCGCGCGCCCAGCGGGCACCACCAGGCTGGCCGCTGCCTCCTGTGGGCCTGCAAGGCATGCAAGCGCAAGACCACGAACGCGGACCGCCGCAAGGCCGCCACCATGCGCGAGCGCCGCCGCCTAAGCAAGGTGAACGAGGCTTTCGAGACGCTCAAGCGCTGCACGTCCAGCAACCCTAACCAGCGGCTGCCTAAAGTAGAGATCCTGCGCAACGCCATCCGCTACATCGAGGGCCTGCAGGCTCTGCTGCGAGACCAAGACGCCGCGCCCCCTGGCGCCGCCGCCTTCTACGCGCCGGGCCCGCTGCCCCCAGGCCGCGGAGGCGAGCACTACAGCGGAGACTCGGACGCGTCCAGCCCGCGCTCCAACTGCTCCGACGGCATGGTAAGGCTGGGACTCGGGCGGGGGTGGGAGGGGGAAGGAAGGTAGCGCGCCTCATATCTGCGAAGTATCCTAGCAAGGGAACTGGCAGTTGAAGTGGAGGACCCTTCCTGGGAGTGTGTTCCATAACCTGGGTAGTAGTAACTGGGATAGACTAAAACTTCGGACAAATGTGGTCCGCCCGATTGGGACGTTAGAATCTAACACTGTGCCGACCTGAAGGCACGAGTTTTCTCCACTTATCCCTATTTCCAAGATGCGGATTGGTGCTACTAAGCGACCGTCCACTCTCCCTTTGGTCTTGTTGCCGCAGATCGCAGCTCTCGCCGGCTCATACCTCTCATTCCAGATCTGCTCCCAGAATTTGTGGCTGGGACCACTGGGGGGAGGGGGTGTGAGGCTGCAGCGAGAGGTGCTCTGGCCCCCAGCGGCCCCGCCGCCCTGACTAGGGACGTCCTTGCCATTTGCAGATGGACTACAGCGGCCCCCCGAGTGGCGCCCGGCGCCGGAATTGCTACGACGGCGCCTACTACAGCGAGGCGCCCAGTGGTGCGTATTCCCGGCTTTGCCCTACGCGCGCCTCCTGCGCGTGTCCCCCTTGGAGCAGCCCTAGTCTCCTGGCATCTCTATCCCATCCCGTTCTACACAAGCGGGAAGGGGGCCGGGGGTTGTGCACCGAATGAAATACTGAGCATGCGGCTCCCTCCCCTTTCACCCCGCGCTCTCGCTAACTAGATCTTCCCGGAGGCTGGTAAGTCCTCACTTTCCCCTCTGTCTCCAAGCATTGGGCCAGGGTGGGGCCTTGTCGCAGCTCAACCCTGCTGACGAATTCTCTATTCTCCTGCGCAGAATCCAGACCTGGGAAGGGCGCCGTGGTGTCGAGCCTCGATTGCCTGTCCAGCATTGTGGAGCGGATCTCCACGGAGAGCCCGGCGGCGCCCGAGCTCCTGCAGGCCGACGCGCCGCCGGAGTCGCCCCCGAGCCAGGAAGAAGTGGCCGCTCCCAAGGAGGGCGAGCTGCGCGTCCCCACCCCTTCCCCGGACGGCACTTCTCAGGGTCCTGCAGGCGCGAACCCCAACCCTATCTACCAGGTGCTTTGAGGAGCTGGATGCCCTCCCGAGGGATGGTGCCCTAGGGTCCCTCGAGCCCGAAAGGTTGGCTGTAAATGCCACTCCTCCCATCGCGCTTTAAAAGCGACCCCTCCCGGGATGGAGAGGCCGGTCATCTGAAAAGCGTTCCCGCCCCCACCCCACCCAGCGCAAGGACGCTGCCCATTTTCCACGCGGGAAAACACACGACGACCGCCTGGGGTTTCTCGGCGAGGTGCAGCTGTCCTACAAGGGCCAGGCCCTTCTTTTTCCTTGATGCCTCCACCCAGGGGACTGAGACCCTCGCAAATCTACACCCAGCCACCACCGCGCGCAGGTTATTTTTTAGGGGTTGTCCCCTACCTTCCGGAACCCTCGTGACATGCAGCTTTTCCCACCGCCTGAGAGGTGCGCTCCAGTCCCAAGTGGAACAGGTGTAACTGTACCCCTCCTACCCCGTCCCGCCCCGCGGTTCAGGACCACTTTTTGTAATACTTTTTGTAATCTATTCCTGTAAATAAGAGTTGCTTTGCCAGAGCAGGAGCCCCTAGGGTTATATTTATCTCTGAGGCGTGGTGTGTGGTGCAACAGGGACTTTGTATGTTTTTACAGCAGGTGCGCGAGCCGCGGGCGCTCGCTCGCTCAGGTGTTGAAAATAAAGACGCTAATTTATACCGCTGTGGCTCGGCTTCCGGGGCGGGGGTGGGAGGCTGGAGGAAATGCGGGAGCTGGGTCAGCTGCCCCGCAGCGACCCCTGTCGGCAGTGGATGAATTGCAGAGAGACAGCTTGCTGCAGTGTACGGAAGTTCCTCGACCTCACGTTCATCTCCACGCACAAGTCCGATTCTCGTGAAAGAATGCACATTAGATTGATCTGCCTAGTTTAAAAAAAATCCATGTCCAGCCCCTCCTCCTGAAGACTCACACTTAATGTCTCTGCCCAGATACCCAGGCCACTTATTGCTATTTTTCAAAAGCTCTCCCTGGTGATCCTAAAGCAGATGAGAGACAATCACGTCCCTCCACGAGCACAGAGTGACCCTAGTGTGTCCAGAGGTTCACCACGTGTCACTCAGTCCTCACAGGTCGCGAAGATGGGTTAGGTGCTCACACCATAACGATGAAAACCTAAGGGGACGAGCTTGCACACTGCTTCTCTCAGACTTTGCGTGATGGGTGACTCCTCTCCGGGACCAGCAGGCCAAACTGCTCCACTCAGTCTGTGACCCACACTTACTGCATCCTGGGCCCGTCCTAATTCCTAAGAAGATGGGGTCCCAGAGCCTCTGAGCAGAGGCTGGCATATGAGCCACGTGCTTTCTTGAGACTCTAAACTCCAATAGCAGAGCAGGGTCTTCTGGGTTAGCCCAGATGCTGCAGAGTAGATGACACTGTCACAGTGTCCATGGAGTAAGATCGCCCATACACAGACACCTCTGCCTTCCTGTTGTCTCCAGGCCAAAGATGAGGTAGCCTTGCCAAAGTTCCTCCCACTCACATACTCAGGACCCTGGCACCACCTCCCTTCATCCTGCAGACCCTTTTCCGGAAGCCCTATAGGTGCATGTTCAAGTGGTGGGCAGCCCCTTGGCAATGCAGGTAAAGCGGTGAAACCTGCTCTCTCTCTCTCTCTCTCTCTCTCTCTCTCTCTCTCTCTCTCTCTCTCTCCTGAGAGCCCTGCCCTCCTCAGTGCCCCCAAGGGGCTTGAGAGTGTTCTTTTATAAATGATGCTCTGGGTGATTCCCTGATGCCTCTGGGTGCTACACACTCCCTGGAAGCCCCCTGCGGCTCATTCTGTGCTGGGAGAAAACAGAGACCCCTGGGCCCAGTTTCTGCCCTTATGAGCCACCCAGGGTTTTGTGGGGGCCACAGCATGATCACACATGATGGCCGCAGCACTATGAGCGGGGCTGGGGCATGGTTGGAGCTGATGAGAAGGAAACCTAAAGCCAGTTTTTGGGAGGCAGAGACAGCAGATTACCTCTAAGAAGAGGCTCCCAGGACTTGGCCAAGAAGAGGAGTCACTAGCATGCTCCAGGCAGAGGCGCAGCAAGTGGAAGAGCCAGAGTCAGAGAGAAAACAACCTTCAGAGAAACAAAGATGTCCCAAGGGCGGGGTCAGAGGGAGGGGGAGAGGCAGACAGGACCACAGTGGACCCATTTGGGATTCATCCTGACTGCAGCAGGGAGCAGAGAGAAACCAGAGCAGAGCAAGGGTACGAATAAGCCTGAAATTTGGAATGGTCTGGTCGGGCGGGCAGATGAACAGGAGCGAACAAGGCTTGAGATAGAGGAGTGCTGTAAAGGAAAGAAAGAGTGCAAACGACAGTTATGCCACTTGGATCTTGCCTTTAAGCTCTAATTAGAAAATTCCCAGGGATGACCTCTATTTATACCAGCTTAAGTCATGAGGAAGGATTTGGACCTAGATCGCAGGATGGGGATAGGGGCTGAGAAAGTGGTCAAGTGAAGAGTGGAGGAGGCACTTTCTGCATTGACAAAATACAACTGTAGACACAGAAGGGGGCCCAGAGTATAGGCAATCAGCATGCAGTTAGAATTGGGTACCTTTTCATTACTGGGCAAGGTGTCCTGCTCCAAGCTCAGGGCTTTGCAACCAGGAAGCAGGCAGGACCCCAGACCCCACCCACCTCAGCCATAAACACTGCATAACTGTCCACAGCAGCCTGACTATGGAAGTCCTAGGGAAGTGAGGAGAGGGAGCCATGACACTTTCCGGCTCTGATTCACTTTTGGGTAGTGCCCGTAATGGTTCATCCTGATTGTCAATCCAATTGGTTTCAGAGTTGCCTAGAACAAGAGCAAAGCACACGTCTGGGGGTGGCTTGATGCATCATGAAAATCTATCTTTAGGGACCATGTCTGGCCCCTAGCCCCACCTTCTCTGGCTCTGTCACTCTGTCCTCTGCTTCCCAAATGCTGTGTTAAGCAGTTTTGCTCTGCTTGGCTTCACCTTGGAGCCAATTATACACTGCAACCACAAGCCAACGTAAACCTTCCTCCCCTGAAGTTGTGTAGGCTGGGAGATTCATCCCAGCTAGGGAAAGCTGACTAATGCAGCACCATGGTAGAGGGGAGGGGGCTCAGGAAAAGGAGCGACCAGACATTTTGAATTGAGAGTGACAGAAACCCCATTCACAGTAGTGAATCTCATTCACAGGGCGCACTAGAAGGACACTGAGAAACTCACACATGGAGGTAGAGTGTGCGTTTGTACCACAGCACCAGTGGGCTCGGCAGCTGGGATTGGAATCCCTGTGTCTTTTCCTTGCATTCCCCTTCTTTTCTCTTCACAGTTTTACCTTTACCTCGTCCATGTTCAGTTTCAAAAATCCCCAGAGATGACATCTCTTTACACCAGCTTACATCATGCGGAAGGATTTGAACTCAGGTTGCAGGATTCTAGAAAATGTAGTTTTGGCTGTTTGCTCTGTGGCCTCCAAAGAGAAAGTCAGCAGAGGGAAAGTGAGAAAAGTAGGGGAGGGGAGCATCTGGAGATCGGAGCACAGCACAGAGAATGGGATTCAGGTCCTGTCTTCTCCCTTCCTCGTCTGCTCAGGGAACATCTAGCTGAGACCAACCCCACTGGCAGTGTAGCTGAAGGGTCCCTTTCCATGGGGCCAGTTTTATCTTGGATGGATCTGGAAGCGCCAGAACCATACCCTCAGTGCACACATATACGTCTTACACACATGTGCTCATACAGTAGCACATGCGTGACTGGAATGCACCTCACGCTGATATACCATGAAGACAACAGAGGTCGGTCCCCCGCCTTCCAGGAGCCAATTCCAAAGCCCTGGGGGAGCCCTAGAAGTACATCCATGTGCTCTAGTTTCTATTTTAATCTATTAACTAAAGTGAATTACTTTTTAAAATCCACTTATGATCATTCCATTTTTAAAATTCTGACTTCCCCCTGTGTTTTGTGGCATTTATGGGCATTTTGAGATCCTATCTATAGGCGTGCATTTCATTTGAGTTGAGTGGAATATATTTTTAAATAAATGGAACATAAAATAGAAGCAATAGTTTTGACCAATAATATTGATTTTTACATTGAGAAGACAATCATACCAAAAATGTCTTTTTATTAAAAGAAAGGGATGTGCTCACTTTGGCAGCACATATACTAAAATTGGAATGACACAATTGGATTAGTACAGCCCCTGTGCAAGGATGACACACAAATTCATGAAGTGTTCCATATTTTTTTCAGTTTAAAAATTTATAATTTGTATTTCTATTTTTTTACTATTTTAAATTTTTTTTTATTTTTTCACACTCTGGATGGATTTAAAGTTTAACATATCAATGACTGATGGAAAATACCTGTTCCATGTTATGTCTAAGGCGATTGATATTCAGACAGATACTGATGTTGACCTCAACGGCCTATGTTTTAGGGTAATAATATCATTAAGCTTTTCTTCTGGAAGGTTAACAATTTAAGTTTGCAGACCAAAAAATTAGAGAAAAAGAACGGCTACAAGGATGGTCAACATTTTGGCCCTAGCACTTCAAGGTCAGTGAGGACTCAGGACATAAGAGAACCTGTACTCTAACATCCTGTAGCTCAGTGGTATCCAAATTTTCTGACCAAGGAGATTATGGGGCCACAGGGGAAAGTGATCCACGATGTGGAATGTGCCTAAGGAGAGTCACATGGAGAGAAAACATTCTCTCAGGCTTTCACAGAGAGCAAATTGGTCAAGCAATGGCTGTGACTCATCCACATGGCTGACACTGACAAAGGATCCACAAACTGCTGTACAGGGTTTCAGGGTAAATCCTGAGGGGATTTGACTGACCTTGTCAAATATAAAAGTTACAATTTTGTGTTGTAAAGCAAGTTACAAATTTTGTTACATAGGTCTTGCTTTATCTTGGTCTTAACAATCCAGCAGAAAAGTATAAAAACGAGGTATAAAAAGTAAAGCCATATTAATATGCAGAGCTGTAAAAGGCTCAAGTCCACAACTTCTGACATTGCTAGTCATGCGGATCACCCACTACTATGATAGACTACTGGACTATATTGGATTACTTTGCTGAATTCATGCACCTACTGTGTATGAATGGCAATGGAATACACATCTCTGACAAAAGTAAACAATAAAGGGGGATATAAATGAAGTCCATTTTGTAGTGGAAAAAAACTATATGTGTATATACAAAGTGGCATAGATATACAGCTACTTTCTCTTAGTTCAACGAGAAGAAAGTTTTGAGCTAATAGCGTTTAGACAAGATATCATGTCTGCATCTTGTATTATGAATAACCACTACAAAGACAACAATATGCAATGTATTAATTACCTGTCCTACTAACCTGTTTTGAAACTGTCTCATTGCTTCTTCTTTCTCAATAAAATTAATATAAAAAGTAAAAAAAGGATAACTTTTGAATAGAATTATGGAGAATACTCTCAAATTGTTTGATATTCTAATCAATAAGGAAGAGGACTTACACAATCACATCAGAAAAGTCTTTAACTTTTAGTGATTCTGATATAAAACAAAGACATAATAAAGATAGTTTCAAATTTATAACATGACATTATAACCAGATGTCAACAACATCAACATATTTTTGTTTGTTTGCTTGCTTTTAAGGAAAGAAAACTTTATTTACCTTACTGGCTCCAAGGCAGAATGGCCAACATATTTTCCAATGTAACTTGTCAATTTAAAAATATTTAAAATCTATCACCACATGAGAAACTTAAAATGACTTGAATTCTTACAGCCCACAGAGGAAAGAAACTTGATTGAGGCTTCCCCAAATGTGACACCAATCCTAAAAGCATATGTGACATTTTCAGCTGAGTTATGAGCCCGAGAAAAGCTTCCTGAAATTATCAATGGTACAAAACAAGTTTGGATCAGCCATGTTGAAGGAAAGACTGAATGATCGCTCTTATTCTCTGCACCGAAAATGAGGTTATAAAGCCACTGTCACATGAAAGGCTACGAATGTGCAGCCTGGGCGGTGGGAAGCGGTAGGCAAGGCTGCCACGGGAGCAAGAGAAGGGAAGCAGAGAGGAGCTGAGGGGAAGAACAGCGAGACACAGCTGATGAAGCGACAATGATGAGCAAGTTGATTCCGGCTCAGTTTTTATCTCATCTGCAAAACATTTAGCCCGCCTGCACACAAGTCACTGCTATTTAAAAAACTTAGATTTGAGGCTGTGTGATATTTGTTTTTATACTTTACAGGATCATTTTTGTAAGGCTAACATTTTTTTCAGGTAATACGTAACAGTGGAATTGAATCCACACAGAACTTTCACAGGGGCTGGGGTGTGTCCAGAAAGCATCAGCGGCTGTGTGATAGGGCCACTGACCTACTCTGGACCGTGGCTTGGACTTCAGCTTTGTCTCTGTGAAGGAAATTGCTGATTTTAAAAGGCATTGGGGACATAGCTGTAATCCAGGTACATGGGGAGGCTGAGGCAAGAGGACTTCAAGTTCTAACCAAGCCCAGAGAAAAGAAATTTATATCCCAGCTCTATAATTCACTTAAGACATGAGGAGGAGGAGGAAGAGGAGAGGAGGAGGAGGAGGAGGAGGAGGAGATGGAGACAGAGATGGAGATGGAGACAAAGACAAACAAGAAGAAGGAAGAGGAAGAGGAGGAGAAGGAGAAGGAGATGGAGAAGGAGGAGGAGGAGGAGAAGAGAAGGAGACAGAGACAGAGACAAAGACAAACAAGGAGGATGAGGAGGAGAGGAAGAGGAAGAGGAGGAGGAGGAGGAAGAAGGAAAA